CAGTCTGGGCGACAGAGTGAGACTCCAACTCAAAAAATAAATAAATAAATAAAAATAAAATGAAAATACAGGCCGGGTGTGTGGCTCAGACCTATAATCCCAGCACACTGGGAGACCAAACCAGAAGGACTGTTTGAGCCCAGGAGTTCGAACCCAGCCTGGACAACACAGCAAGGCTTCGTCTCTACAAAAAATAAAAACCTAGCCAGGTACAGTGGCACAGGCCTGCAGTCCCAGCTACTCAGGAGGCTGAGGCAGGAGGATTGCCGGAGCCCAGTAGGTCAAGGCTGTGGTGAGTCCTGAGGGTGCCACTGCACTCCAGACTGGGTGACTCAAAAAATAAAAAATTAGAATTAAAAAATGGGGGAAGCTGGGGCAATTCTCCTTTCCTTGCAGGAGACAAAGCTGACTCAAGTGCCAAATCCACCCAGGGAGCCCCTTCCCCAAGGAATTCGCCTGGTGCTTTAAAGCAAAACCCTCGGCTGGGCATGGTGGCCAAGCCTGTGATCCCAGCACTTTGGGGGGCCGCGGTGAAGGGATTGCCTGAGCCCATGGGTTTGAGAACAGCCCAGCCTGGCAACTTGGCAAGATCTCATCTCTACAATAAAAAAAAAAGAGCCGGGCATGGTAGTCCACGCCTGTCATTCTGGCTCCTTGGAAGGCTGAGGTGGAAGGATCGCCGGAGCCCAGCAGGTTGACCCTGGGGTGGCCGTGAGCGTGCTACTGCACTCTAGCCTGGGCGACAGAGTGAGACTCCAACTCAAGAAATAAAAATGAAAAAGTAAAGCAAAACCCTCAAAGCTTCTGAGAGCAGGGGACTGATGGGTGAGGAACGGGAGGGAGGACAGTGAGGAGACTGCGGGGGTCACCTACGGGCGTCACCCAAGGGCGTGCAGCCTGCGCTGCTCCCTGATGTCCGTTCCACATGTGTGGAAGGCGGCAGCAGTGCTAAGGCTCTGTGTCACGAGGGTAGCTGAGGCCCCTGCCCGGCTCCTGAGATGCTCAGGTTGTCAAGAGGACAGCGCGGGGCGCCCATCCGGGAGAGGGCCTGCTGTGGAGCCCACGGCATGCCCACGCGGTAGTGAACGTCTCTTGGACACAGCGCCCTGGCCCCCATGGTGGTGCTGGCCTGGGCGGCTGAGTGGAAGGTCTCCGCAGACATGGCTGAGAGGGGCCCCATGACCCTGGGTGCCTCTGGGGGCACGGCCAACTGCCACAGCTGGTGTCCAGGCTGGGGAAGGCCTGCCGGGGTTCAGGAAGCGGGGCCCCGGGGCCAACGTCAACTCCGGAATAGAGGCCCTGGGCCCACGGGGCAACCTGACTCCTCCGCCCGGCCAGCCTGTTCCTAGTGGCCTGGCCAGCAGCACCGCACACCTGCCTGAGGGCTGTGGGGCAGGGTCACTCAGGGCTGATTCCAAAGCCACTTGTAAGCACCATGTGCTCTGGCTGCCTCGGGGCGAAGGCAGCATGTGAGACAAAGACTGCTGGCCAGCCAAGGCACACAGAGGCCCTTTCGGCCGAGGGCGGCGGGCTGCTGGTTTACACCAGCCAACACTTGGCCGAATCGTTACAGGGCCCTGTTCAGAACAACAAGCCCGACTGTTCCAGCAAGGCTGCCATGCAGACTCGGTCTCTGAACCACCCAGCTCCCTGGAGAGGCCGGCCGGCCGGAGGCTGTCCTCCTAACAGTGCTACTGCCACCTAGCGGCCAGGCCGCCTGGCTCTCGCCTGGGGCTGTTTACAGGGAGACCGGAAACTGGAGGCCCCCCATGGGTTTCTAACAATGGGGACCAGCTGATGCACCCCACAGCGCGAAGTCCTCCCTGGACCATCCCTGCAGAGTGCCGCGGGCCCACAGCTGTGGGCCGGCCCAGGGACGAACGCCTGCCTGGACCCACAAGGGGCACCCGCGGGGGCTGGCTGCTGCCGTCCTGGCCCGGGGAAGCGCTCTGGGTTCTAGCTGTGAACGGGTCCAGGGGAGGCTCTGGACATTGCTCCTGACAAGTCTGGGCCTCGGTAACTAAAGGTCAAGGCGCGGGGAGGGGGCGCAGGGGTCTTCTTCCTAGCCCCAGGATGTGGGAGGCGCATGCTCACAGAACGATCCACCAGGAGGGAAGCCGGAGGCAGCAGGGGGACGGCAACCTGGACCCTGTGCCACCGAGGCCTGCCCAGACCCCAAGATGGGAATCCACTGTAGCAGCCCTTGCTGGGGCCTGGGCGTTCACTTCCACGCCTGAACCCTTCTTGGACAGGCTCCCCAGAGACAGGTGGCCCTTGATGCTGGAGTACCTGCCAGGCCTGGGCTGGGGTTGGCCTCTGCCCACGGGGCATTCAAACTCCCAAATCACCAACCCGCCTGCTGAGAAATGCTCCATCCAAAGGCCGTGTCCATCCACCCCACCCCCACCGGCCTGGCTGTGCTGACACCCTCGGGCCCCTGGTGGAGCCTGGCCTTGCCTGGGGCTCCTCTGGCCTCCCAAGGTCTCCCAGGGCCGCAGGCCATGGCTGCCGAGCAAACACCCCAAGGACGCCACAGTCAGGAGCCAGGAGGCCGACGCTCACTCACCAGCTGCACGTAGGCAACCTTGTAGTCGGGCTTCTTGATCCGCACGTTCCTGTGATCACGCTTCCTGTTGCTGCCTGTGGAAGGGGTGAGGGAGAAGAATGGCTGCTGCCGGCCCTGGGCGCCAACTCCAGCCCCACTTCCAGAAGAGGTGGCAGGCGGGAGGACTGGCTAGCACTCCACCGACACACCAGACACTCAGGGCTGCCCTTCCAGACGACACTGATGTCCTCGGAGGCCAGTGCTACCGAGAGGAATCACCCGGCTCTATTAAAAATAAGTGTGCTTGAAAAGACTCAAAGAAGCCATTTTTCAGGGAAATGGGCGCTGAAATCACAGGGGCAGCACAGCAGGCTCATGACACGGGAGGGGGCGTGGGCACCAGCGAGGGCATGAGGGTCTTCAGTAAACAGCTCTACTGGTGAGGGACCCTCCTTGGGGGCTGACAGGAGGCAGGCACACGGCAGGTGGGAGCAGCACTCAGAGTGGACCAGGGCCAGCCCCGAGTTCCAATCCCAGCTACACCATGTAAGTACCACATGACCCCAGGTCGCTCCAAGCCCGCTAAGCCTCAGTTTCCCTATGTGCCAAATCAGAATGAGCCCACCCCCCCACTCGAGTGGCCGAGGTCAGTGATGTGGCATGTGTGCGGAGCTCCACAGACAGGAGGAAGTCCAGCTCACAGCCCACTCACCGTGCTGCACGCGTGTCCGCACGGCAGCCACAGGCACATTGTAAATACGCTCAAGGTAATTCCGGAGGTCCAGCCTGGTCATTCTGAGAAGGAGAGGAAAAAGGTCTGAATGAGGCTAACAGAACAGACGGCGTCCCAGAGGAACCCGCCTGAAACAAGGTCCCTGACCCATGGGCCTCAGGAAAAGGGGACACACGGCCCGTCGGCTGGCCTGGCCGAGACCAGCCTGGGCCAGGCAGACCGCAAACTGCCAGCAGCCTCTGTCTCCAACGCTTGCTCTGCCTTCCAGACACATGAGTCCGGGGTGACACGTGGGGTCCCCACACACGTGGGGGCCTTGCACACACAGGGCCCCACACACTCACGGGTCCCCACACACGGGGCTCTGTACAGGAGGCCCGGCATACGCGAGGGCCTGCACACACCCACCATCCACCGGCATTTGTGGGCAGGGCTGCAGACAGAGTTTCACGGTGGGAAAAAGCTGGACTTGTAGCTGAGTTAGGTAACACACTGGGACACACCGCCATGCAAGGGTGCCCTCCAGCCTTACTCCATGGGGATCCGGAACTGCACCGTGTCCTCGGGCTGAACCGTGCCGGGCCGCACCAGCTGGATGAAGAAATTGGTTCGGAACACACGGAGCTGCGGGCCGCCCAGCTGGTACAGGGGGTACCTGCACAGGATCGGGGTGCACAGCACACTGAGGACACGCAGTCCCGGAGGACGGCCCTCCCCTGAGCCCGTGCGTCCTCTCTCCTCGACAGGGAGGGGAGGGACGGGGGCGGCCAGCTCCAGGTCATCGCCCAAGCACCAGAGGTCCCCACCGCCCCCTCCTCAACAAGTGGATCTCCCTGGGGCCGGTGGCCAGGTCTGGTTCCCAGCACCAACTTGGAGGTGCATGGGCCGCTGAACCCCCAAGGCTGGACTCCAGAACTCAAGAAACAGGCCAGTGGCGCGTGAGCCCTAAGTGGGCTGAGTGTGGCTCAGCACGCACTGGGGTTGTCAAGCCCTCCCAGAACAGGCCCCACCTGGCACAAGGCGGCCCATGCCCCTGCTGCCCAGGTGAGGCGAGTCAGACAGAACATGCCACAGCAGGGACAGGAAGGCCACTCTGCCCACGCCCCACGGGTGGAGTCCAGCTCTCAGGAACAGATGCAGGCTTGCCAGGCTCACCCTCCTCAAAGATGGAACCTTCAACAGACTGACTCGGACTGCTCACTACAAGCTGGCCACACCATGTCCCCCCATGCGACTCCCCCAAAGCCAGCGGAAGCAGCCCAAGGGGTGCCCGGTGGCTACTGCCTGCAGGACTGGTGAACCACGTGGGGGTAGGGTAGCAGGCCACAGTGACAATCGGGCAGTGGTCTCCTGTTCCTCAGGCCAGCTGGGGGGACAGTCAGTGGAGGAGCCCCATCTGCACACCCGGGCTCTCCCGGGGCCTTGGAGCTGGGGAGGCGGGTGCCCAGGCTCCGGGAACATGGGAGAAGCACGGGCCTGCAGGGCTGGGGCGGTGGGGTCCAAGAGCTCAGGTACAGTTCTCGGTGGAGGGTGGGCGCAGGGGCAGGGGGCCATTCAGGGTCTGGTGGACCACAAGTGGCCCTTGATCTTGGGGGGCCCCCACCAGGGAATGGGGGCTCGACCTGGGCTTCAAGCGAGTTCCACGCTGGCCCGCACTTCAGCCTAGAGAGGACGAGCAGGGTGGGGAGTGCCTGAGAGCCAGCAGTGGGGAGCAGGGCAGGCCTGGGGCCGGGGTGTTTAGAGATGCAGTGAGCCTGGCTGGGCCAGGAGCTGCGGGCCTCTCAGAGAGGATTCTGCAGCCAACACGTGTTAAATGGAATCGCTCACACCCACCGGGGCCTCCCGGCGACCATGTTCACCAAGGGCGGCTGGTGGCCGGGCTGGCAGGCCTGAGCCTCCCCTGTGGGGGCAGCTGCCAGCCCGGCAGAACCTCCCGTGGGCACAGCCTGGCCTCTGGGACCTCAGAGCGCAGATGGGGGGCAGGGACACCGGCGAGAGGCCAGGAAGGAAGACCGGCCCACAGGTGGGGGAGGCCACCCCTCTCCAGGGGCACCGTGGAAACAGGGGCCTGCTTGTTTTGCCCACACGCTCAGGCCGCCCTGGCACCCCCAGGAGCTCTCATATTCCCCCTGGCGACCCACAGCGGCACTGCAGGTGGGTAGACAAGTGTAGCCGGCCACTCCTGACCAGTGAGAAGGGGGTGCGATGGGTCTCGGGCCCTCAATCCCCAGGCCTTGGGCACTGGGGCCTGAGGAGCAGGCCTCTCTGCGAGGCCGTGGGGTGGAGGCTGCCTGAGGAAGGCCGGGTGAGGGCCAAGTGTGCATGGTTCCTCACGCGTCCACGTTCCCACAGACGCCCGTGCTCACCCTCAGGCCCCATCTTTGCAAGCAGATGTGGGACAAGCCATGCGCCAGCACCCTCCTCCTGGGCCCAGAACCCGGCTCTCCTGCCTCTCTGGGTGAGGCCCTGCAGCCTCCAGGCCCAGCCCGCCCCAGGCCCCCCCAGCCCTCTCTCCCTGACCGCTCCCCTCAGTGTTCACAAGCTCAGGCTCCTGGAAGACGCTGCCTCCGCCCCAGCACGTCTCAAGTGCAACTCGACAGCTCTCCTCCCTCCTCCAAACACAAAACCCTGGCTCGCTGCCCCGGAGCCCGCCTGGGGGCCGGCACCCCTGCCCTGATTC